AGCCCAGCCTTGATACAGTTTTAACAGCCAAGCCCAGCCTTGATACAGTTTTAACAGCCAAGCCCAGCCTTGATACAGTTTTAACAGCCAAGCCCAGCCTTGATACAGTTTTAACAGCCAAGCCCAGCCTTGATACAGTTTTAACAGCCAAGCCCAGCCTTGATACAGTTTTAACAGCCAAGCCCAGCCTTGATACAGTTTTAACAGCCAAGCCCAGCCTTGATACAGTTTTAACAGCCAAGCCCAGCCTTGATACAGTTTTAACAGCCAAGCCCAGCCTTGATACAGTTTTAACAGCCAAGCCCAGCCTTGATACAGTTTTAACAGCCAAGCCCAGCCTTGATACAGTTTTAACAGCCAAGCCCAGCCTTGATACAGTTTTAACAGCCAAGCCCAGCCTTGATACAGTTTTAACAGCCAAGCCCAGCCTTGATGAAGAGATTCTAAATTAATCAAAGACTTCAAAATATTGGTTTCTGAAATACAAGCAAACACATTCACTTGTCCGATTGAAGGATGCCTTTTTTAAAGGCCCCTTTCATTCGTCTGGTTCAAGTGTTTTAATTGGTTGGTCATGAAAGGAAAAAGAAATGACATGCCCAGATTCATAACAAGGTTGATCTCTGTTGTGCCTAGCTAAAACAACACTGCTGACTATTGATATTTTGTACCTAAAAAAAGGTTGATTCACATACAATGTTAACTAAACACTCTACATATTTAGTTTACTGTCTAAAGAAATATAACCCTGGCACTATTGCTATTTATAGAACACTCCGACACAGTGGATTTACAGCGCTACTTATTAGGATGGCTTACTTCTGGTCCAGTGGAGTTACAGCACTACTTATTAGGCTGGGTTACTTCTGGTCCAGTGGATTTACAGCACTACTTATTAGGATGGCTTCCTTCTGGTCCAGTGGAGTTACAGCGCTACTTAGTAGGCTGGCTTACTTCTGGTCCAGTGGATTTACAGCGCTACTTATTGGGATGGCTTACTTCTGGTCCAGTGGATTTACAGCGCGACTTATTAGGCTGGGTTACTTCTGGTCCAGTGGATTTACAGCGCTGCTTATTAGGATGGCTTACTTCTGGTCCAGTGGAGTTACAGCGCTACTTAGTAGGCTGGCTTACTTCTGGTCCAGTGGATTTACAGCGCTACTTATTAGGCTGGGTTACTTCTGGTCCAGTGGATTTACAGCGCTACTTATTAGGATGGCTTACTTCTGGTCCAGTGGATTTACAGCGCTACCTATTAGGATGGCTTACTTCTGGTCCAGTGGATCTACAGCACTACTTATTAGGCTGGCTTACTTCTGGTCCAGTGGATTTACAGCGCTACCTATTAGGATGGCTTACTTCTGGTCCAGTGGATCTACAGCACTACTTATTAGGCTGGCTTACTTCTGGTCCAGTGGATTTACAGCGCGACTTATTAGGCTGGGTTACTTCTGGTCCAGTGGATTTACAGCACTACTTATTAGGATGGCTTACTTCTGGTCCAGTGGATCTACAGCACTACTTATTAGGCTGGCTTACTTCTGGTCCAGTGGAATTACAGCCCTACTTATTGGGATGGCTTACTTCTGGTCCAGTGGATTTACAGCCCTACTTATTGGGCTGGCTTACTTCTGGTCCAGTGGATTTACAGCCCTACTTATTGGGATGGCTTACTTCTGGTCCTAGTTTGTTTGTTTATCATGTTATTATATTTTCTGTGCTTCCTCAACCGTTTCAACTGGACAGGCGAAAGCGGTCTTATTTTGTTGACCACCACAACATTGATACACTACAAACATGAATTTTTCAGTAAAGAATTCAAACCTGTTCAAGTGATTAGTACCATACCCATACACTACAAATGTTAATTACACTAAAAAGAATTCAAACTTGTTCAATTGCATATGAGAAAAAACAAACCAAAATGAAGAACCGTTTTCAAAACTTTGTAACAGACAACAATATTTAGACCAGATATGTGGTAAGATTTTCGGCTGACTTTAACAATGATATGTAGAACTGAAACATTGTACCTGGTAAGCACTTCGTGCATCAACAAGAAGATAAACACATATTTACATACAAACACTCAATCAGAAAGTAATGCAAAACTTTAACATAGCTCAAAATACACACAATATACTTATATATTATAATATGCATAGAAAAATACATGTACCTTTTTATGCATCGATATATTCTTTCTCTCTCTCTCTCAACTTTAGGATACAACTTTTATTCTTAGCTTTATCCTTTGTTCTTATCTCATTTTATAAATTACATATTCATTCTCTCATTCAAAAATGTGTTCTCACCGATTTTCTGTATAAGGTACAGTTACGTACATCACATGCAACGTTGTTAAAACATATGGGGATTATGAAACTTAAAATTCTCCATTTAACAATTTGGATTTTTTCTTCATTGCTCTTCATAACACATAGAAACAATTATAAAGTTGAGACATCATTGCTTTTTTTTCTTTTTCAAAATTGAAAACAAAAATACAAAAATTCATTAACTGATTTTGTTCTAACAAGTACAAGCAAGATCCATTTATGGAAAGGCCCAATTGGATTATTTTTAACAACAGACAGAAAAAAAAATCACTAAAAAATAACAACTGACTATACTTAATATGAAACCAATGGCAATGATTTTAAAAAAAAATATTTTACATTGGATATTTCTATAACACCGGCAATCTTTTGTTTTCTCATTTATGTGGTAATCATTCATCAATATCTTGCAAGAATATCATCTTTTCAAGATATAATTAGAAAAAAACAAAAATAAATTCTCAAACTCTACCACGTATGAATTTCTGACAGTTAAAAAATATTGTCTAGTTTTCTTCTATGAACTTTTATGAAAATTACTTCAAAATAAGCACTACTAAAACAAATCATTGCAAGCTTACTTATATATATTTGTATGTTTACTGTAATTAAACCACCTGACAAGGACAATTCTAACAAGATTATTACTACAGCAATAGTAACAATAACAACATCTCACCGCTGGCACCAACTTCTCAAAATATCTTATAACCTAAACTCAGACTTAAATCTTCCTGAACACAGCTTTTGCCATTGGACATATGCTGATATCATTTCTGGGCACATTTGATATATATATATATAAATGGGGCAACTTCCCCAAGGTTTCTCTGCTATTGCTCTGTATTTGATACACAGTAATATAACACAAATTGATGCGAGACAAATAACAGTTTTTACTAAGGGCTGAACCAAAATATATTATAGCTACACAATTACTTTAAGACCCCATTTTCAGGTCCGACATGGGAGTCGAACCTGCACCTTCAAGCTAAACAGGTTCAAACACTGGTATTTTCTATTGAATTCATGTCCAACAAGTCATTCTTAATGTTGTGAATTTTCCATTTACAAGTTTGTGGAACAGGTCTGGAAACACCTATTTCTCTCTTATGAACAAATATGACAATTTCATGTCAACGCAAAATATAAAATGAATTTTGCACGAAAATACAAGAGGCCCATGGGCCTTAACGGTCACCTGATATATTTATACAGAGAGTTGATTTTGTTTTTAACATGAACAGAAATATTATTCAAAGTGACAAAAAACAATAAAACCACCTTA